TAGGGTTCCTCAAAACCTAAGTGAAGGGAAGTTACTCCATAGAGAAGAGAGAGACTGCAGTAAGAATCTTCAGATGATCAGTCTTCAAGTCCGGGCTTGTTCCTCGAGCTTCCAAGGCGAAGAAATCCTCCAATTTCAGTCCAAGAATGCCCTCAAATCGCCCTCTCTCTCTTTGGTTCGTCCCTTGGGTGTTTGGGATCCAAAATCCAGCTCTCTCTTGAAAAAACGCACAAAACAGGCTTTTAACAGCCTGTGTTCGTGATCCCCGGTCAAAATACCCGGTCGGGTATTTTAGGTCACGACCTGGGATTTTTTGGTTCACGACCGGGGATTTTTGGGTCACGACCGCGGATTTTGGTTCACGATCGGGGATTTTTGGTTCACGATAGGGTATTTTTGAAAACGCAACGTCTGGAGACAGGGGAAAATCCCCTATCAAGGCCAAAAATCCCCTACCGGGAATTTTAGTGTCACGATAGGGCCCCCTTCTGTTTCTCAGAGAAGCCCGAAACCAATTTTCCCCTATCTTTGATTCTTCGTTTCTCCCTCGTTCGAACTCCAAATCAGGTGCCGTTTGATCCCAGATGCTCGTATTCTCGTCCTCTTTCTTCTCATGACAAGATTACATGATTATATGGTCATAAACGGAGGTAGAAATCCCTTCTTCTTCAAGTCATACCCGAGTTTCTTCCCCCGAGTCGCCAATTGATCTCCGATTGACTTGAAACTTGCGCCTACGCTTCACTTTATGTGCTAGGACCTGAAATGTGACAAAGGAACACAACCTAGCGTAAAATAGGCCAAAGAAGCAATAATGAAAGCTTAAACGATCAAGAAACCAAGGGGAAAACATGTGCAAATATTGAGTCATCAAATCCCACCACACTTAACCGTTTGCTTGTCCCCAAGCAAACCTAACTCAAACCAATGCAGCTCTCCAGACCTCTATAGCAACATGCACCCTCGATCCTTGGTAGAGGATTTTCTAGATCATTTAGAAGCTTACGAGGTCAACCGACGCACAAGTCATCTCATAGCTTCTTCGGCGAGAACGCTAGTCTCGAGTCGGCATCATGGCAAATAGTGATCAGAGGACAAATGAATCGTGGACGAAGAGACTCTCAAAAACAAAAGATCATGGACTCACATTTTTCAAGGTGCTCTTATTTTCTTTTTGAAGACGATTGGAACCCCTTTTTTTCCTTTTCTTTTGTTCTCTTTTTTTTTCTTTCTTTTTCAAGGGTTCCAACCCGATTTTCAGAAAACAGGGCTCCCACCTAGCAAAGGTTTTGCGGGAACCCGGCTCTTGCCGGCCATGCCGGGAGCGAATGTCTCGAGCCTCATGCGGGGAAAAGGATTGTAAGAGGGTTGGAGGTAGTAGGTGGAAATTGGGAACGAATTCCCGTCTCCCCTTACACACTTTTGCCCTATTCGCACGGGAGACGTTATTTTAAAGCACATTATCGAGCACCTTTTATTAAAAAACATGATACAAGAGTCCATGACAGGTAGAGAGTCCACAACACCACACAATTTAAGGGTCCTAAGATCACTAATTCACTCAATCAACCAACACAATATGAAGAAGAAATAAGACTTCTTAAATGAATCAACATCCTCCATAGTGCTACACTACCTCCCTAGGTTGCATATTACTATAAAGACTGTCAATTCAAAGCATACTGAGCAGGCAATTGCAAGGAACACTTACTTGGAGCCCTCAAATCGAAATTTGGACAGTGGACTAGGCTCCAAGCACACAAACAGTCAAACATTCACACGGATACATAATCGAACATCCCCCCACACTTAAGCACGACATTGTCCTCAATGGAGGAAAGATAAGGAGGGTAGAACGAAGTTACCAGATCCCGGGTGAATGATGGTGGACGGGGCAGGCGGCGTATTCCAGGAGGAGAGAATGGTCAGACCACAAACACCACACAAAATCTCACAAAGGTTGAATTATTGACTCTAAAATCAAATAACAAAACTGACTCAACCGAGGAGAAAAAGAGAAAGAAATGCAAACCGACTGGTTGGGTTGCCTCCCAACAAGCGCTTCTTTCACGTAGTGAGCCGGACGATGGCTCCTAAGTTTCGGTCCACCCCAAAACCTCTTTGAAGTTGAGGTTCTCGTCGATGAGGTGGAATCTCAAGTCACGAGCATGTGGTATGACAGTGGATGGAAGCTCGTGCACTTGATGCAGATGAAGTCTCCACCCTCGAGACCTCTTCTTCTCTTCTCTCGTCTCATTGCCCCAAACCATATATGACAGCACCGATTGACCACCATCGCGTCCACCAAGAGGGACCGATGTCGACGTGACCTTGGTATGGCAAAGAGACACTGCAAATGGATCCTTGCTAAGTAGTTTCTCGAAGTTTGGTGGAGATATCAAATGTAACTCATGGCCGGTGCAAGCCTCTTCCACCTCAACTTCGTCCTCAGCCTGGACGCCAATTGCTTCTTCAACCTCCCTTCCTTGTTCGTGTGGTATCACCCCTAGGAAATGATCAAGAACTCCTCCTGCTTCACTTTTGTCATCCTCCACAACTTCTTTCTGCACCCTTTCTTGCTCTTCTTCTTCTAGCACGGATTGGAGAGCAAGTTGCCAAGCAATTTCTTTCATGAGATCTTCTTGCATCTCCTCACTCATGCCCGCCTCTTCAAAGCTCAGTTTGGGGTGTGGGAAGGTGTGGTCGGCTACGACAGGACATTCTTGATCATGACCATCACGTGAGCTCTCCGTGACAACTTCTGTGTATTCCACAATGTCCTTGTAGCCTTCTTCTTCCTCCTCCTCTTCTAGTATGGTAGCAGAAGGGTGATCTGGAGCAGGTTGTGCCCAAGATCGCTCAAGATCATCGACGCTCTTCTTAAGGCTCAGGAGGATCTGCTCTGTTTCACGATAGGCCTGGACACAATGATCCATCCTGGATTGAGAAAACTTCTCCATGAGAAGTCTCAATTCATAGTGTGGATCTGGCTGTGGAGTGTAGCATGGTTCTGCAGAATGGCCCGTGAAGGCCGCCATGGGTAATTCCACCTCCAATGGCCCCTCTAGTTGTGGGAAAAATTCTTCTTGGTAATGAGGTTGTTCTTGATATGCCCAGGGGTCCGATTGTTCTCCGTAGTAACGGGGTTGGTACTGGAACCCGAATCCATAGTCTTCTCCTCCTTGATTGCTCCAGGGAGTCTCGGGGTAATACCACTCAGATGGTGGTGGATACCCCCAATGGTTGGAGAAGCCATGAGGATCCATGATTCAGATCTGCACCAATAAAAACAAAAACACCCAAGTGAAAAGCAAGGGTGGAAAAGAAAAGAAAAGAAAAACGCTAAAGTAACAAACTTTTGCCTTTCCTAATACTCTAGAAAGTCCCCGACAACGGCGCCAAAAACTTGACTCGCTACGACACAAAACCTAACAATGGCCAAGTGTAACCAATGGAAGGGACTGCAGTATAGTGGCTCAAGTGATAAATATCGAATCCACGGTTCTCTAGAGTTACTATTACTCAGCTTCAGTTTATTATTTAGCAAACCAGATTAAGATGAAAGAACTAAAACTACTCTAGCAAACTACAGTTAAAGTTAATCTAATTACAGGTTGGGAACTCACTTAGGTATGATTCCCCCTAGCCACTAGCCAGACAAACAATTGATGATTTCCAACTTGTTTCACTTTCATTCACAATGCGGAGAATCCTTGACTAGACCTTGAGTCTCGACTAAAGGAACAAGGCCCTCTTGAGTCAATTGCCTAGAGGGACGTATCCTTCTCTAGAACAACTGATCAAGGCGTTCTGAACTAGACTCCCTCTATCGAAAGAGGTTCTCAATCGATACAAAGCGGTGAATCAACCCTCGAGTAAAGCAATCGATCCACTACTATCAATCTATGGTGCTCTATTAACCTAATCAGGTATTCCCTCTCATAGGATCAAAGCAGAATCAATAATCTCGACTAAAGCAGAATTGAATCATGAAAACATGCATAGATTGAATATGAACTCAAGATTATCAAGTCAGAGTACTCATACAATCATCCAATCAAACAAACATAGCTAGGGTTCCTCAAAACCTAAGTGAAGGGAAATTACTCCATAGAGAAGAGAGAGACTGCAGTAAGAATCTTCAGATGATCAGTATTCAAGTCCGGGCTTGTTCCTCGAGCTTCCAAGGCGAAGAAATCCTCCAATTCCACTCCAAGAATGCCCTCAAATCGCCCTCTCTCTCACTTTGGTTCGTCCCTTGGGTGTTTGGGATCCAAAATCCAGCTCTCTCTTGCAAAAATGCACAAAACAGGCTTTTAACAGCCTGTGTTCGCGATCCCCGTTCAAAATACCCGGTCGGGTATTTTAGGTCACGACCGGGGATTGTTTGGTTCACGATAGGGGATTTTTGGGTCACGACCGCGGATTTTGGTTCACGACCGGGGATTTTTGGTTCACGATAGGGGATTTTTGAAAACGCAACGTCTGGAGACGGGAAAATACCCTATCAAGGCCAAAAATCCCCTACCGGGGATTTTAGTGTCACGATAGGGCCCCCTTCTGTTTCTCAGAGAAGCCCGAAACCAATTTTCCCCTATCTTTGATTCTTCGTTTCTCCCTCGTTCGAACTCCAAATCAGGTGCCGTTTGATCCCAGATGCTCGTATTCTCGTCCTCTTTCTTCTCATGATAAGATTACATGATTATATGGTCACAAACTGAGGTAGAAATCCCTTCTTCTTCAAGTCATACCCGAGTTTCTTCCCCCGAGTCGCCAATTGATCTCCGATTGACTTGAAACTTGCGCCTACGCTTCACTTTATGTGCTAGGACCTGAATTGTGACAAAGGAACACAACCTAGCGTAAAATAGGCCAAAGAAGCAATCATGCAAGCTTAAACGATCAAGAAACAAAGGGGAAAACATGTGCAAATATCGAGTCATCAGAGCTCAAACCGCCACCTCAACCAGCGGTTTACACAAGAAACTGAAAAAGGAGTTATGTACTGTAGCGTTCTATCCACCCCCTTTCTCTCAGTTTTCTCTCCAGCTGCTGCTTTTGGAGCATTCAATGTTCAGCGCGTTGACAAACGTATCTCTAGCAAGGAAATCAAAATAGATCGACGAAGTCAGAAAGTAGTGAAGAAGATCAAGGAAGATACGAGGAGCATTTATGGAAGAAGTAATTCCAGGGCAGAGTTGTATCCCTCTGCTACTATTAAAGCGAAATGGAGGCGTGCCAAAAGTACAACCTGCCTGGGAAAATCTGGCCAATTGCAGCCAAAGCCACCGGAACAACTACCCAGCAATGAATACGGAGGAGGGTGCATATCCTTGGCAGAGCTCGACAGAAAGAGAGTTAAGAAGAAAAGGGAAGATGGAGAATATAAAGTCCATAAACAGGAGGCGCACCAGGAGGAGGATCCAAACATTAAAGGCTTACAAAGAGCTCACCTGAAGAAAATCTGGGAGATGGATATGCCAATCATCAACACAACCCCTACCTTACCCTAACAGTCAGGCACGATGCTCAGAAGATCGAGAAGGAGAGGGTAGATACCCAACGAACCAGGACACGACATCTGGGCATCCGTTTGGGATTTGTTACAACAAGGAAGAGGGATCTACCTGAGAAGAGTAGCTTTTACCATAAAAGGCAATTAAGAGGTAGTCAGAAGAGGCCACAAGAAGAGGAAGGGGATATCCAACTACCTCATTTATTATCAAAGGCATTCAAGGCTGGGAAAGGGTTCTTTGAGCAAGGGAAGCAGGTGGATTGGCCCTATATAAAGACCAAGTAGCATGCAGAGTCTACCCAGTTCACCTCCATAAACAGCAAGATCAACTGAGAAACACCAACCATACTCCTCTTGGATCCCCAAATCAACTGCGTCTCCCCATCTCACAGCCCATACACTATCTCAAAATTGTAACTGAATGCTTCGAGCTCGAGAGGAATGAAGAGCCACCTGGTTCTCAATGTTAGGCTAAGGGTGGTTGGTGCAAGGGATAGTGGAATTCCCATGCTACTATGCAGATGGATTACTGATGCGAATATCAACTTACACAAAGCCAAGAACACGACATCCTACAAATGGCCGGCCTATGGAGAAGTCCAAGCTACGAAGGAGGCAGACAACCTTTTTGTCTACTCGTTCCCAACAATGAAGCAGAGGAATGCAATTTGGGAAGCGAGGCCATGGAATCTGGGAAACACCATGGTAGCAATGAGGAAGTGGGATGGTGAATAGAAGGCTGAAATAGCCGACATCACCACAATCACTCTATGGGTGCAAATGCACGATCTCCCCCAATCTCTCAAAGACGAAGAATCCATTCAAGCAGTGTCTGAGTTCATCTTCCCACAATACCATGGCATTGATAACTCAAACTTTGAATTTAGAGGATGGCTAAAGTTCGTTAGAGTGAAAGTGGAAGTCCAACTGGACAAACCCATCCCAATCAAGTTTGAATGGCCACTTGGAGAAAGATCGACCTGGGTGAGTTTCAAATATGAGAGGATCATGGACCTCTGCTACTTCTGTGGCAGACTGGGTCACCTCATCCAGAACTGCCTCGAAAGAGAAGACTATCGAAGACGGGGATTGTGCATAGATCCTTCGGAAGTGTACACGGCGACGCTCAAGGCAGGACATGATTCACGGGAAGAAACCGGAAAGATTGAGGTAGAGTTCACAAATCGAGAAAAGGTCCTGCACCATGCCAGTATCCCGAAGATAATCGTCCTTACTGACTCTCGTGGGCCATCCAGTAGACCCATGCTTCCTGCCCATCGGGCTTCGTTGCTCTGCCCATGGACAACCCAGGAATGATGAGGGGTGGCGACTGGCTGCTTAGAGGAGAGGGGAGCTGCCCCACCAACCTATCACAAGTCTCGATGCTGCAAGTGAAGCTGGCGGCAGCAGCAATGCAAAGAGGAATGGATCTCTCAGGCAGGAGGATATAAGGGAGAAGCAAGCTGTGCTGCTAGAGATGGGCCAGTCACTCACTCTGGCCAGCCCAACTATACCCTTACAAGAAATGGACCAGGCCCAAGGATTTGTTGAACAGACACCAGAAATGGGAGCCCAACTAGCCCAATTCCCCCTACAGACAACCGTTATTCATAGCCCAGTGGGGGAGGAGGAGATTACTCCCAGACCAGAGAAGAAGAGGAAACCAGAACACCGAATCACTTAGTCTGAATCCTCCCCAATGCAAGCTTTTACTACTAACCTGTCTGTTGATTCTCTGTCTTTCACAGCAGGTGGTGACCTAAGGAGGTATGCAAGGAAAAACACACAATTAAAAGGAGAAGCATCAGGGAGATCAATGTGGATGGGAACAAGTCTGGAGAGGGAGAATCCAGTTCCCCAAAGGCGACGGTGGCAGGCCATAAGCCGCCTTCTCAATCATGAGGATCATCAGCTGGAATTGTAGGGGGTTTGGCCAGCCACTTACAAGAAGCTACAGTGACAGACTCCACCGAAAATTTGGCCCCTCAGTGGTGTTCCTCATGGAAACCAAGAAAGATGACCAGTTCATGGAAGACAAAAAGAGGGCCTGAGGTTTGACCACTCGAAGTACGTCAGCCCTTCAGTAGAAGGTAGCGGTCTGGCGCTTTGGTGGAAGGATGAGGTTGATTTGTGTGTTCTTGATTCATGTAAGTCCTATATGGACATTAGGATTAGTAGGGATGGTGTCACCTTCTTTTGTACCTTCATCCATGCTCCAACCACAGCGGTGGAGAGGAGAGCCCTATGGGATCGACTTACGAACCTAAGGGAAGCTCAGGATGAACAGTGGCTTGTTTTGGGTGACTTTAATGTTGCTCTGTACCCGTTTGAGAAGCAGGGGGGATGCCCTCTCAGGAATGAAAATGTGGCTCCCTTTAAGTACTTTATCGAGCAGAATGCTCTCATGGACCTGGGTTTCTCTGGTCAACCTTTTACCTGGACAAACCAGCAACAAGGCAACAATCTCATTCGAGAGAGACTGGATCGAGCCCTCTATTCCTACTAATGGCGGATGAGCTTTGAATCGGCAGTGGTGTTCCATGAGGACTTTGTCAACCATTGCCCAATCAGACTTGATTTGCATCCCAAACATAAGGCAAGGCACACCCCTTTCCGTTTCGACAAGAAATGGAGGGTTAATGATGAATGATGTCATATTATTACAGACATATGGAATAGAGGGGTTCAGATTTGTGATATCATGAAAGACTGCAAGAAGGAACTTCAGAACTGGGCACGAATTGACCACAACAACAAAATCATGCGAGAATCTGAAATTAAATCTAGGATCCAAGAGTTATAAGGCCCAAACAGGACCACAAAGATGATCAACGAAGAGAAAATTCTACACCAGGAGTTATTTACGATCTGGAACTCAGAGGAGGAATTCTGGGCGCAAACATCACGGAACTGTTGGCTTAAGGAAGGAGATCAAAATACAGGATTCTTCCACGCCAGCACCATCAGGAGGAGAAACAAGAACAAGATTCTCAAACTGAAGAATTCCGAAGGGGCCTGGTTGGAGGAAGCTCATGATCTGGATAACCATGTAAATGAATTCTACCATGAACTGTTCACTACCAAGGGAGGCACTTTTGATCACTCTCTTTTGACAGGTTTTCCACAACAAGTGAATGAAGCCCTCACCGCTGACCTTAATGTCAACGAGATTCGCAAGGTGGTCTTCCAGCTTGGTGCGAACAAAGCACCTGGGCCATATGGCTTCCAGGGCTTTTTCTTTAGGAATTTCTGGAACCTGATCAGGGACCAGTTTTGTGAAGAGATCATCTGCTTCTTCTGGATGAGTGTTATGCCGGAGTCTTGGAATGACACGTTTATCACCATCATCCCTAAAGTGGAGACCCTAGAGACGATCAGCCAGTTTAGCCCCATTAGCTGCTGTAACTTCAAATATGAAGTCATCACCAAGATCATGACAAACAGACTGCAATGTTGGCTCCCGAGACTGGTGAACAAACTTCAATCAGCCTTTACTGGGGGCTGCAAATTCAAGATAACATCATCATCATTCATGAAGTTCTTAACCACTTCAACAAAAACAAAGCAGGCAGTCGTAAGGATATGATGATGAAACTGGATATGCGAAAGGCATACGACTTGGTCGAATGGGATTTCCTCCTTGAATTGCTAAGAGCTTATGGATTCAATGACATCTGGTGCGGATGGGTTAAGGCTTGTGTCTCCACGGTGAAATTCCAACTCCTGTTCAACGGTGAACCTTCCACTGAATTCATCCCGTCTAGAGGATTGCGACAAGGAGATTCACTCTCCCCTCTTCTTTTCATTCTCATGTCCAATTCTCTATCTTTCCTCATTGAAAAAGATGTACAGCAACAGGAAATCAGAGGACTTAAGCTCAACAGATATTGCCCCTTGCTGACCCAATGTCTCTTTGAGGATGATACGGTGATCTTCAGAGATGCTTCGGTCATGGAGGCCCTGAGCATTTTGCATATTTTGGACTCTAACGGAGCAATCACTGGCCGGGAGGTAAACCGGGAGAAATCCTCGGCTTTCTTTAGCTAGAATGTGACGGAAGAGGAAAAGGGAGCTATCATACAGGCTATTGGCTTCGATTGCTCGAGTGTACATTCAAAATATATGGGAGTGCCAACGGAGTGGGGAAGATCTAAAAAGGAAATCGAATGGAGAAACAAGGAGAAGCGTGGAAAAGCTTGATGCTATCACCGGGAGGAAAGGAAACACTGCTCAAAGCAGTTTTCCAGGTTTTCCCGTCTTTCATCATGTGCCTGTTCCTCCTCCCTCGCTCGATCACGACAAGAATGGATGCAATGCTCAAGAGATTCTTTTGGAGTGGATCTGTTTCCAAGAGATCCATTCACTGGAGGGCAGGAAGGGTTCTTTACGCTCACAAGTCTGAAGGAGGACTAGGGTTCCGACCATTCCATATTTTCAACCTTGCTTTGCTTGCTAAGCAAGCATGGCGCATCCTCACGAACCCGGATGCCCTTTGGGTTAGGGTTCTGAAGGCGCTTTACTTCCCTCGAGTGGATTTCACAAAAGCCAAGAAATGGAGCAAGGCCTCATGGATCTGGTCAGGTATCTGGGAAGCAAGGAAGTGGATGGAAAAAGGCATCATCAAGGTCATTGGCAGTGGGAGGGACACTAGATTGCTCCATGACCCGTGGCTGTTTGTGCGACCTAGTCCCCTGGGACAGAACATCACTACAGATTCCTCAGTTGTCGCCGATTTTATTGATCCCATTTCCCGGGAATGGAGGTTTGACATTCTTGAGGATTTTCTGAGCACAGCGGAGATTCAAGATGTGGCAGGGTCGCCAATTGGCCCCTGCTCCATGAAGGATTACTGGGCCTGGCGGTACACTGGCCAAGGAAACTTCATCGTTAAGTCGGCCTTTCATCACTTCCACCACCAGGTTCGGCGGGACCGGGGAGAAGAGCTGACGATTCCTGATTCAAACAAAGACAGATGGAAATGGCTCTGGGGACTCTCTCTGCCTCTGAAACTGAAGTTCTTCGTTTGGCGAGCTTCAAGAGGCGCTTTGGCTACAAGACACAATCTACATGCCCGACGATGCTCTCCTACCTCAGTCTGCCCAGTGTGTGACGTGTTGACGGAGAACATCCACCACTGCCTCTTCCTTTGTCCCCATGCTGCGAATGGATGGAATCTGCTTTACCCTGAGCTTGCCACCCCTCCTCCTCTCACAAATGTGATGGAGTGGCTTTTCTCCCTTTCGAGTACCTTATCAACCGATCTGATACACAACTTCATCTATCTGCTTTGGCAAACATGGAAGACGAGAAATGAAAACGTGTTTCGGGACAAAGCTTTGAGGCCTTTTGCAATAGTTGCTCGAGCAAAGGAAGAGGCCCATCGCTGGAGAGCTTGCCCCAAGAAGAGAACCTCCTCCTCTCACCCTCAGCCTGCTCCACCCCCTGATACCCCTTTGCCACCGCCAAGTACTCATGCTTTCGAGATACACTATGATGGATCGTTTTTTCACGATTCCCAGGAGCCGGCATATGGCGTCATTATTACCAACGACCATGGTCAAGTGGTGGATGGGAAGGTTGAGCCCATGCACTGCTTCTCACCGATTGAGGCAGAAGTGAAAGCTCTACTGAAAGGGGCTTTGGTTGCGGTGGATCTTCATGCCCCATGCCTTGTTCGCTCGGATTGCCTGACCCTGGTGAAGGCTATTCAAGTTCAGTCATGTCTCTGGTCATGGCGAGCTGCGGCTTGGCTTGGACGAATCTTGCAAATTGCCAGTGACCATCCCGACATCAGATTTGAATGGATTAATAGGAAACTGAAATCCAAGGCTGATTGGGTGGCAAGGTCTTGCGCGCGGAACCAGCTGTCCTCGGAGTGGATTCAAATCCATGATGTTTCCCCCCTTCTGTAATCTTTGGCTTTTGCCGCTTTTAATGAAAAGCTTTGTGCCCTTTGTAAAAAAAAAAATCCACAACAGGTGGTTCACATCAGAATCCTAGCTCCTCTCTCTCTTACTTTAATTTGAACTCTTTTCTCTGCCCTCTCTCTTCTTTTTCTCGGTTCCATTTTCTGTGTTTTCCAGGAGCTGCCGCCGGCTCCTTTCGGTGACCGGCGGCAGCTCAAGCCCCTCTATTACATTTTTTTTCTTTTCTTTGTGCTCATGCTTCTCCTGACCTTGTTATAGGTGATTTTCCTACGGATTTTCAGCTTTTCCCCTGCCGTTGTGGCCTTTCAATTTCCGTTCCTGTGGAGCTTTGTCTCTTCATTTCCCGTCGAGCTATGTCTCTTCCTTCGGTTCTTGGTTCTCCTTATCAAGGTTTGCTGGTTGTAGGATCCGGAGTTAGCAATTTGGTGGGTGCCTATTGCAGATCTGGATGGTAGTGATTTTTCCAGGTTGGTGGTTTCATCCTTGGTGAAGCCATTCTCTTCTTTCCCTTTCCGACCTCCACTTTGTGTTTGTGTTGCGGGGTGAGCCATCGGATCGTGGAGGGTCGGGTCTTCTCCGGTGGTTGTGGTTGGGATCTTCTGCTCTGCTTCAAACATGATGTCTCTGCCTCAGCTTCCTCTGCCTCTGTCAGCTTGGAGCAATCCGTTCAAATCCCTATCCACTGCCATGCAATCTTGTTTCTAGGATTCACTGTGATGGATGCCTTTGAGTTATCCCCAGGAGGCGGCATATGGTTGATGTAATCACTAGCCATGGATTTCGAGTTGATCGAACAAGTTGATTTCGCTCTTGTTGCATTCTAAGTGGTTGGTTGCAAGAGAGATTTCTTATGTACTGGTTTTTTCAAGGGTTCTGTTTTGCTGGATGGTTGCTGTCAAACTGTGTTGTGTTCTCTGTTCTTTGCTTTTGCTTTTCATGGTTTGATTGTAACCGGGTTCCCTTTTCCCTCCTCCTGTTGAACCAGAATGTTGGTTGTTGTCTCTTTGTAACTGACCAGTTAAAATGCAATAAAGACTCTCCTTTGTCAAAAAAAAAAAAAGTCCACAACAGGTAACTTGTACAACTCACTAGAGACTAGACTGCTGAACTAGCAACAACAGAATGATAATGGAAACAAGCTTATTAACACAAACCAAGAACAATTGATTCTTTACATAAACATCTACACTTTGATCCCTAATTTATCTACCTTCATCAATGGAGGAGACAGAGATGGAGTTTCGGGAATAATCCTCAACAACGTTAATGCTGTTCCCTCCAGAACCTCTGCTACCACCGGATTCCGTAGTGCTAGTAGGGTTAGTGTGGGTCAAAGCAGAAGTGGTGCCATTGGTAGATGTCCATCTTCCTGTTCGGCCTTGCAGGCCAGGTTTGCCTGGTGTTGGTAAAGTAAACGAGTCGCTCGAAAGCATGAGATGAACTGAGTTCATGTCAGGCCTGTCGACAACAATTTGTTGACAGCATAGCAACCCTATTATAATGCACATCCCCACTTCATCTGTGTCATAATGGTCGCCAAGGCTAGGGTCAAGTAGCTCCAATGTCTTTCCTGCTTGGTAGAGTTTCCATGCCTGTGTTTTAAGTTTACACCCCAAGCAAAAGATAGCAGATGGGTCAGGTTAATGATCTGCAGAATCAGGTTGGGTGATAGCAAGTTTAAGCACACATGGAGGAAGAGCATGACTCCAAAAACTAGTATGAATAGGCCATTCCTGACCACAATAGGCATAATTATTAAAGCATCTGATTCCTGTATGTTCCTAATCTGGCTACACAAGATACTGATTCTCCGATTCATATAAGCTAGAGTCTACACCCAATACGCAAACTCAAAAGTCAACTATACATTTCTATACATGTAAATCTTGCAAAACAGTCAATACCGAACTCTAAATCGACTTACAGAATTCAAGAGATCAGCATGGTCCGGGCCGAGCCTGTGATCAAGATTCTTCCTCCCACTTACGATTTCTAAGACTAGAATACCATAACTGAAGACATCTGTCTTGACAGAAAGATATCCATGCATTGCATACTCTGGGGCCATGTAACCACTGCAACCAGCATCAAGTTTATTGTCAGCTGCTTAAGATAGCGAATGCAAAGCTGCAGAATCCAAATGTTCAAATGAAATAGATGAAAGAACTATTAATCATAGAGAACTGAAAGAAACACTCACTGAGTACCAGATATCCTAAATGTGTTCACATGTGTGTCTTCCTCTGGAAACAGCCTGGCAAGGCCGAAATCCGATATCTTTGGTCTCAGTTTTTCATCCAACAATATATTACTGGCTTTGATATCTCTGTGGAGGATTCTCAAGGGGGCTTCTTCGTGTAGATAAAGAAGTCCCCTCGCCACCCCTGTAATTATATGGAATCTAGTTGTCCAATCCAGTGAAGAAACCTTCTTTTTATCTACAAAATTTCACGGGCAAGAGAATCACCAGTTGCTATTTCTCATTTTCCCCCAACATAAAAGACAGATCTTTGCAATGGAAGTAGGAGCTTGTTTACCAAAGAGGAAGTAATCGAGGCTTTTGTTTGGCAGATACTCATAAACAAGCATCTTCTCAGGGCCTTCTACACAGCAACCCAACAATGTAACTAGATTCCTGTGTTGGATCTTCAACAACAACTTCACCTCATTAGTGAATTCCCTCACTCCTTGTCTTGAAGTTAAGGAGAGCTTCTTCACCGCGATTTCTTGGCCATTCGGAATCAACCCCTGACAACAGCTCTACATGAATTGAATGGAATACCTCTTGGAGATAATTTGAATACAAAAGAGGCAAATAAACACACCATTCCAATTCAGAACACCTTAAAAAAAGTCTCAAAGATAGGCCTGAAATGGAGGCCGATTCCATGATCATCCATGGACGCCCAAAATCAACAAATCCAAACCCTCAATTCCCTAAGTTGAACTAAGTAACTAACTCCGACATGCCTTCAATTCAACGATGAAGGCGACGCCGTGAACAACTATTCACTGATAATATAGTCGAGAGTCGGTAACCCACCTTGTAGACGGGACCGAAGCCGCCATGACCGAGCTGGTTCAAGTCGGAGAACAAATTGGTGGCAACTTGAAGCGTACGGAGGCCGAAGAAGAGGTCGGCAGTTTCGGCAGCGGCGTCAGCATCCCTCTTGGCGCGACGACAATTCAGCTTCCCGCCCAGGTACTGGCAGGTGGTGCAGGTATTGCCCATGATCAAGGCATGAAGCCTGCCTTGAGGGCTAAGGAAACCTTGGGAAATGTCTGCAATCAGTGCCGCCAATGGCGTATTGGCGTTGCTTATGGGGTGTGGAAGTTGACTGGAATTTAAGTCTTCGGTTTGAATCTTCTTGGAAGTTGCTTATGGGGTTTTGGTGCGAACTGCTAAGAAAAGGACGAGAGGGAAAGTTGGTCTTTGGATGGTCTCATTCACACTCATGAGTCATTAATTATGAAACAATAGTCGCAATTAGACCTGTAGATGAGAATGGCTTGGTTGGGTTTTCTTTTTGGTACAACTAAGTGTTTATGTGATGCTCTTTACTACCAATAAAATCATATTGCAATTACATAAAAAGATTACATTCTAGAGCAAACTTTGAAGTGCCTGTATAAGGAGGGTTGATATTGCAGTGGCGGACACGGAAATTTTACGTAGAGGTATCCTCTATTAAAAAATTAAATAAATAAAAATAATTAATATAATTAAATAATTCTTAAATAAGAAAATACCTAACTCGTAAAAGTTATAAAAAAGTCCACACTGTAGAATATACTTGGTGTCTACACGGCTCAAAAAAGTTGTTTATTTATATCCTACTAGACAATTGTTCACGAACTGATAGCATATTCGATTTCTAAACTGGTTCTTGATGTAACCCAAAAGTGAAAAGACTCTTTCAACACTTGTTGTTAAACCATAAACTCAATACAAATTAAGGATAGTTTGAAATAGAGTTGTAGTCTAATGAAAATTATGTTTATTAATAATAGTATCCTAGATTTGAATTACCCAAACTACCACTTATATTCCCATATGCAAACTAAAAAATGAGAGTAGGAAAATCATTTTCAAATTTCAGGAGTGTCCTCCACTATCAAATATAATTTTTTGTCCATACGTAAATTACCACCGGGGGTTGAATAATCGTTCTCTCAAAATTTAGGGGTGTCCTGGGACACCCCCAACGCCCAAACTCCCCTGGGTCCGCCCCTGTGCTATTCCATCCTCGCGTGGTGGATGTTTCCTCTGGCTAGAATTTTTATTTTGCAGCCGTATGACTTGTCGCTTGGAAATCTTTTATTTTCTTTGTTCGCCTTTGCTAGTGGTTTGGTTTCACAGCTTGTGACTTCCACGGCTCCTGATCAATTTCCTTTGTACGGTTTTTGTCCCCATTAAGCTCGCAAGTTTACCCTTCCAGCAAAAGAATATACTGTTAGGAATTTTATTTTCTAACTTAAGTGGGCTACCAATTCTCAACACAAAATATGGGCTATTTGTTTTTGTTGGGCTAGCTTAAGTGGTCAATTCATGAAGCCCAATGACTATTCAAACCCAATATGAACCTAAATGGGTGGAAACCCAATACTTACACCTATGGGTTTTATGGGAGCCCATGGTGGTGAGTATATAAGGAACCTTGAGGTTGTGGTCTCCAATACACCAAGACCAAAATCATATTCTCATCTTCTCCCCATCAAGAAGATGAGAGCTCTCTCATGAGAGGAACTAAGGAGGCTTGGTTGAGGAAGACGGCAAAACCTTTCAGGTCGTGCTGTTGCTAGGCCCGATCAAAGATCATCCACCGGTTTCCGCATCACGATCGAGATGATCTACAATGAATCCAGGTATTCCTATCAACCTTTGATAATCTAGCAAGATGAGATTCTAGGAAATTACATAGGCTAAAGTTTAATTCAATCAAGTGGTATAATAACCTTCCATCTTTTGTTGAATTATTGGATTTTCAGTACATACATATCTTCTATATATATGTATTTTGTGAAATTTCTCATCGTATATTCATTGAATACGAGTCTATGTTTATTTGCATTCTGGTTGGCAATCACGAATCCAGTTTATCGGGGAAACTCTGTTTGGTTAGTTTATCCTGTGCCATAAGGGATGTCGCAACCGTCCCTCCGGGAGTCTGGTATCGTGTTCGCTTTTTGGGAGTCGTCATCGATCTTACTTGGAGTGGATCTTACTGCGATTTCGAGATCCGGGTTTGGGAGTAACGTTACGTGTGGGGAAGTTAAGCAACACCCCCACAACCCCCTAAATCGGTAGTACTTAAGTTGATAAGTTTTTATGAGTTGGGTGTATTTTTAGTAATAATTTTGTAATTTTAGGGGCCCACTGGACAATTATATAATTTTTTCATATTAGTTTAAGTTTTAATTATACGTCCAGTGACGTAAAATTTAAAGATAAAGTTAGTTGATTAGTTGGACTCGAACCTTATCGGCTGCCTATGTACCCGTTGTATGGGATCAAAGTCCACGTAGTTCGTTAGGAACTTTGATCATTTTAATTATAGCTTTTACTACGTTCCACTGAACGTAATTCTCGTATTATAATTTTGTTAATAAAATTTCA